TTTTAGCTCGTGCACTTGAGTCACTGATCCGAAAAATCCAATATCCAATTACTCTCAAAATAGTCGACAGCACTGATCTTTGTGCTGAAATCATGAAATTCTCAACCAAGTCAATTGATTTGTTGGCGTGGCTTTACTGCATTCATTTTCTAGAACGCCACGCCAACCGGACAAGCTTATGCTTTGACAAACATGATGATACTAGAGCCTAACAAGCTATAAATTTAACTAATTAACTCTATTATTGTCCTTGAAACTGAAAGTAAAGCCTTACTCGCCACCTGTAGATTATGCTGTTTGCAAGCATACAGGGATTAGTTGGACTAAAACTTTATATAAAAAAAAAAAGAATTTTCGCAATTAGAATAATCACAATTCGCATGAACATTGCAATGGTGCAACAAGGACTCTAGATGCCAAATTGGCATCAGATTTACTTAAAAAATGTGAACTCATATTCACTTTAGCAGCTATAAAATCCCCCACAAGCATGTGAACTAAATGATGTTCCACAATTTCTGCATGCACTTATCCATGCTCCGTGTCAATCAAATGGGGTAGTTCACATCTGGAAATATCATATAACCATGGAGCGTTGCCTAACTACCACCCTGACTAGTAGCTCCAGAGCTTGCAGTTAAGAAAGATTCACCACAACCACACTGCCCTTTTGAGTTTGGATTGATAAATATGAACTCAGACCTGCAAGGAAAGTATAAAACAAACTGAAATAGGAAAACATATCAAGATGTTCCAGCATCATAACATAAGGCACATGGGAAAGCAACAAGGGTAAGAAGCACCAAAACCTAGTGTATTCATTTTTGGCAGTAGGTAGCTTAATAAAATGGAGAAATATAGAAATGAATCAAAATAGACAGACCAAAAGGTAGTAAGAACTTGTGTTCAGAGCAGGTTCCACCATTGCTTTTGAATCCTGATGACCTAATTTGATACAATGCAATTTGTTCAGGAATTGGGTAAACTTGTATGAGCTCACAATCTAAATTAAATGTTGTACCATGTCAAAGCTGGGGATTACTATACCTTTCTTTCTTATCCTGAATGCAGCTCCAATTCTCTTCCTTCTTTTTTGGCCCATTAGAATCGATTTATGTCAATTATTTAAAAGATGGACAAAAAGAACATAAAAATAGAAAATTTTCTTCTAAATTTGACAGCCAGACAGAAGTGCATACCAATTCTATGTCCATCCACGAGTGTGAATAAAGAAAGGCTTAAACATTGAAAAGGCTAACCAGTTACATGTTTAGCAATAGGTACAAATACAATGATTTATCAAGGGCACAAATGCAGCTATCAAGAGCCAAACAAATTAAAAATATTCAGAAGTCAAGAACGAAATAATCTAAATATATAGATGAATTTAGGTACAGTTTAGAAACTTCCATAGACAAAGGAATTCATATGAAAAGTGCAAAAGTATTTTCTATACCTGAGTTTGTCATCTACAAAATCCATCTTGGTTCCAATGACATGCATCAAAGCTTTTGGATCAATAAGTATCTTCACACCCTTGTCCTCAACCAACTCATCAAATTTCCCTTTCTCATCTATCAAATTTGGAGGTATTCCAGAATCAAAATCAGTTCTAGCTTCTCTCCAAGGCAAAACAATTATAAAAAGTAAAACGTTCTTGATAAACAAACTGTAGTGAATAATATCAAAGTCAGCCTTGATTGTCACATGTCGACGGTTAAATATTAGCATAGAGTTAGCATTCCATCCATGGTGATAGAGGAAGCCCTAGTCAGTATCAGGTGCTGAAAAATAGAAACTACAACATAATTTTATCCTATAATAGTTCTATCCTATAATAGTTTATTATGACTCTCCTACTCGGATTCATTTCATAATGTGAAAACAAAATGCTTCGTATTTAAGGAAAAAGAATAAAAATTTAGATGAAATTATCCTGCTATCGATGAGTTAGAATAACTGACCATTATTTAATAATCATCCGGCATACTATTTTCTCTTACAGCTAGTGGGGCATCTACAAATTTCCATTAGTTACCTTCCCTCTAGAAGAAATTGAGGGCCACGTTCCAAATTGTAACTTATCTCAAGAAGAACAAAACTCTGCATTTACACTTTCCCATTATTCAAGATGCAACCCACCATTCATAGACAAGATAAACTAAAAAAAAAAAAAAATCAATATGTCCCAAGCTTCCCGGGGGCCATCTACTGATAAGCAGAAAGCCCCTGAAATGGCTTGAGAAGACCATCAATTGTCTCTATCAATCTCTTTGCCTCCTAACTAAGCCAATATGACACCTAAATCGACAATATGTCTACTCAAGGAGGCAGCACATCAATTATGGATAAAGAACAAACAATTCACAATTCATATTCATACCAGAAAGATTGCTAAAGCTGGCAAATTTTCATAGAAGAACAAACCAAGGATTAAAATCAGAACCGACCAGCATAATTGAGGGTGTAGGATAAGCCATTGCAGCCGCGAGCCTTGACGCCCAACTGCAAGAACGGTCGTTGGCGTTGCTCCAGCAGGTGGCGTATTCTGGCAGCGGCGGCTTCGGTCAAGGTCAGGGCTTGCCGCCTCACCACGGGCACGATTCTCTCAGATGCTGCTGCCAATAATCTGGAAGCCATGAATTCCGGCACCAAGCTCAACCGTCAGATGGTGTCGGTAATTAGTTCTCATTTCAATATTGGATTCGCGACTGTCGTCGGATTTGATTGGACGGCTTCCGAATCTCTGGTTTCTGGAAAGTTCCATTTCCATGAGAATTTGCGCCTACGTAAACCAACGGGATGTATTAAGCCGCGGGGGTGCCACGCGTACCGATTGGGTCGGTAATTTTTTTTTTTCTTTTCTAACACTAAGAATTTTGAAAAAATATGGAGTTTTTTTAATAATTAAAAAGTTGAATTCTTGGTTAATTAAATTTAAATATTAAAAATTATTGGGATCAAGGCCCTGATTCATTGGGTCGGTAAATTTAATTTCTTTTTTTCGAACAAGGTTATAATTTTAGGGGAGAGATGAATGGAATTTCAATTTTCGAGTTGAGGGATGCAGTTTACAAGTCGACCTATAACCATTGAATCGTAAAATTCAAGTGTATTGGGTTGATAAATTGTAGTTAGAGGGAGTTCTAGAACTATAATACCACTACAATAGATAATATATTAGATATACTAACATGAAATATTATAATATTATAATAATAATAATATAATCTTAATAAATATAATTATTAAATAAATATATAATATTATAAATTAAATTTTTAAATACAAAATTAATAATATCATAACACATAATGTAAACTTAATAACTATAAATTTACCAATAATTTAAATAATTTAGTGATTATCTTCTTTTATTAGAAGTAGAATATCTTGAATTCGAGTTACATGGCATGCAGGTAAAGTGAGATAAAAAATGAGAGGTAGTTATTTCGTGCAATCAAAATTAAAAAAAAAAAAACCTATAAACTTAAAAATAAGAAATAACTCTTGAACGTGAATTTTAATCTTTTCATATTTTAGCACTTAAGCTTTGTGTATGACCATTCATACCCACATGAATTGTTGATTAAGGCCCAAAATTAATGTCCCTTCATGGGGTATGGAAATTCTTGTCTCTACGCTTGTGAGTCGCACTCAAGTCACCTTCCATGTTGAAGTTGGGAGCTCACACCCACATAGTTGAGTAAAGTATCTATGTTACCAAGCAGTCACATAAATATTAAAATTAAGCTCTATACAATATACATTTTTCATTAATTACTAAATGTTAATGTACATTTTGTGAAACTAAAAATTAAAGAAAAAACTACAATTAGATCAATCAACCTTTTCAAACACAACCTACAATTAGACTAATTAATAATGAAATGATGAAAGTCTCCTCCCTTTAATTAATCAAACTAATAAAATCTCACAACTATAAAAAAAAAAAAAAAGTAAACGGTACCAAACATACACAGTCCACACACCATGAAGTAAAAAATTTTCAGCCCCCATTCAGCCTCTAATATTTCGGCCCACTAATCTTGTTTTCTTTATGTAGAAAATGCTTTTTCTTTTTTTCTTTTTTGTAGAATTGTATAAAAAAAACCTTTGTACTATATATATATATTTTTTGAACATTGAAAAAGTTGAGGGAAAGGAATTATTTTTTAAATTGTTAATAGGAATTGAACTCCAATTAACTACATTTAAACACTTAATACTTGAAATCAACCATTAAATTCAAAAATCCGATTCAAAAAATTTTTCTACTATGAGGAATGAAAAGAATGGATTAAGAAATGTTGGGCCCTCACCAATTGTGATATTTTGAAAAAGGGTTTTATTTTAATAATGAGGCCATGAGAGGAGTCCACGTCCTTAAAACCCTACCCGTCCCAATAAGAGCAACTATTCACAATTTCACATCACATTTTGTCTCTTTACCACCTCCCTACTCTCCTCTCACATATCATTTTAATTTTTTTTTTCCTTTTTATTTATTTTAACTTTAATTAGTAATCATATGAGTACTACCAAAAATAACTTTAATTATAACATGCTACTTAAAAATAACCTTTTTTTTTAATATTCAAAAAATAACTTTAATTATATTAACCAAAAACCATATACAAATTTAAAATTTACAAAGTGAAATTTCCAAGCCTAAAACACAGGAAAAACCCCATTTCGACCTTCTTCGTAATGCTTCTCGGGAATTCGCCGTTTCTGCCTTCCTGGACTCTGCAATCTTCTCAGGTCTCTCTCCCTGTGAAACCCGGATGTCATTTCTTCAATTCTTCTACCTTGTGTTGT